TTTTTGTTTTTAGAGGTTTTTGCCTTAGAGTGCTTGTGCTTGTCAGAGAGAGAGAGAGAGAGAGAGAGAGATAGTGAGAGAGAAAGTAAAGAATAACTCCCCCGGGGGGGGAGGGCCACTCAGCAATCCCTTCACCTTCGTTCTCCTCCTGGGATCCTGGGCATGCACACATGTGCCCGGCATGAGTATTAGGCCACCAGGTCTGGGACTCGAATTGATCAACAATGTGGAAGTCCAGAAACACAAGCGCTATGCCATCTGCTGGCTCCAGCCTCTGTTTTTTAATCTAGTACTTGAAGGTTTCTTCTCTGCCAAGTTGGCTCTGAGAGCAACAAAGGGATTTACAAATAGCCTTATTTGATGTGATTGGAAAATAGGTGTAGTTGTTACTGACTCACAATTTATTTTGGAAATCTTGCTAAATATAAAAAAATAATTTACAATGAGTTTGCCATGGAAATTGTCAAGTATTATTATTATTTTTACTACTAATTACTATTTTTACTAAGTATAATTGTTATTTTAGTTTTTCATTCACAAATTTCTAGTTTCAGTGTAAAGCATGAGTGCACGAGTAAGGTCTAGACCCAGAGGATCTAGAGGAAGAGAAGATGGTCAAAAGTCTCCCAGCCTGGTTGAACCAGTGGCAGTGAGTGCCTTAACATCTTATTTCCATCTGCAGAAATTAATTTAAAAAAAACGAAAAAGTTATTGACTCTACATACTTTGTTGTATAAAGGACTTTCCTACTGAAAAACTTTCAAAAGTAATCCCGTGAATGAGACATCTCATTCAAAATTATGAAGTATTTTACTATCAATAGTTAAAGTAGATGTATATTTAGGTGTTGTCTGGATGTATACACACACACACACACACATACATGAGCCTGGAAATAGGCCCTATGAACTTCCCAGTCATGATTATTAACAAATAACATAGCCCTGAGAAGAATAAAATGTTTTCTAGAATTACTATTGGTCTTTGTAGGTAACTTCTTCCTGAGAGTAATTTCTATGTAGTAAGAGTAATCTTAACAGTACTTACAAAGAAAAGAAAGGGAAAAACCTCTTCAGATTTATTCATGACTAGTAATCTCTACATAGAATGTGTATGTGTGCCATGGTATTAATAACAGTACTCTTTATTTGTGCCCACCTTCCTCCAAGGCCCAGAAGCCCCGTGAAGAACAATCTCAACAAGAGAAACCACCAAATGAAACTCAGGTTATTAAACCTGGAGAAGAAGAAGAAGGAGAAGTACTTGTGGTTGACAGTGATGAGGGTATGAAAGAATATTTTGTATTTCATATATGATGTTACAGTAGGAACAGGAATAAATGAAGCATTCCCTGAAAGTTGGCTGGAAACCTATTTGGCCAGGGAACAGTATAGTTTTCAGCTGATCCTCTTTATCAAAAGTTTTTTTTTTTTTTTTTTTTATCAGCATTTTACCTATCCTATATATATATTTTTTAAAAAATTAGATTTTTTCCTTTGGACATGTGTACTCTCCAGAAACAGAGATGGAGAGAGGGAAAGTGAGAAATAACTCCCCAAGGGGGAGTGGCCATGCCACAATCCCTTCTCCATTTTCCTCCTGGGATTTTGGGCACACACACATATACCCCCAGTGTGATTTTTCAGGCCACAGGGTTTGGGGTTAGCTATGTGGGAGTTCAGCACCTTAACCACCATGCCACCTGCTGGCTTTCTTTTCTTTTCTCACCCCCTCCCCCCAACAAGGTCTTGACATGCTGTGATCCTCCCTCCTCAGCCTACCAGTTTCTGAGATTACAGGTGCATGCCACTTCTTCCATGTGGCCCAAGTCTGCTGAGCACAGCATTTTAGCAGTGTACATCACTGCAGTTGGGCCAGCAGGTTATCTTGTATTTTTTATTTTTATTTTTTTATTTTTTTGAGAGGTTTTCACTATAGGGCGCGTGTGCTCGCCAGACAGACAGAGAGAGACATAGAGACAGAAAGCGAGAAATCACCCCCCAGGGGGGATGCTCCTCCATTCTCCTCTCAGGATCTTGGGCACGCACACACACGAGCCCGGCGTGAGTTCCAAGCAACCGGGTCTGGGACACAAACCGCGGTCGACTACGTGGGAGTCTAGCGACATAGCCATTATGCTAACTGCTGGTTCCCGTATTTTTTGGGAGGTTTTTTTTTTTGCTATAGGGTGTGTGCACTCACCAGAAGGACAGAGGGAGACAGAGACAGAAAGCGAGAAATCATCCCCCAGGGGGGATGGCCACACCACAATCCCTTCTCTTCCATTCTCCTCTTGAGATCTTGGGTACACATGCACATGGCATGAGTTTAAGCCACCGGGTCTGGGATTTGAACCACAGTCGACTACATGGGAGTCCAGTGACGTAGCAATTACACCATCTGCTGGACCCAGGTTGTCTTGTATTTTAAAAGTTATTTGGGGACCAGCAGGTGGCATAGTGCTTAAGGT